TGGTGATAGCGGGCATCCTTGTCTAGTTCCTGTTCTCAAGAGGAATGGTTTCAGTCTCTCTCCATTGAGGGTAATATTGGCTGTTGGTTTTGCATAAATGATAATCAGCACATCTTGATTGCATGTTTGGTCAATTTCAGATTGGAGAAGTTGGTAAAAACCTTCAATTTCCTCATCTTTGGCTTTGGTGTTGGTGTGTAAATTTGAATAATAGTAGCACTGGTCTTGCTTGTAGGTGTATGGATATGATTCTAACACTGACAGCATTGCACTTCAGGATAGATCTTGAAATATTCTTTGTGATGATGAATGTCATGCCATTCCTCTTCGATTTGTCATTCCTGGCATAGTAGATCATATGGTTATCTGATTCAAAATGGCCAAAACTGTCCATTTCAGCTCACTGATGCCTAGGATATCAATCTTTATGCGTTCCTTTGCATTTTTGACAACTTCCAATTTTCCTAGATTCCTACTTCGTACGTTCCATGTTCTGATTATTCATGGATGTCTGCAGCTGTTTCTTCTCATACTGAGTTGTGCCACTTCACTTCAGCACATGGAGACCCCAAAAGCTCTACTTTATCCATATCATTAAGGTCGGCTCTACTCTGATGAGGCAGCTCTTTCCCAGTCACATTTTAAGTGCCTTCCGACCTGAGGGGCTCCTCTTCTGGCCCTGGATCGGACAGTGTTTCAGGGCCATTCATAACGCTTTCCAGTACTGTACCAGACAGTGTGTCACTGCTGTTCAGAAGGTTTTCACTGACCAACTCTTTGAGAAGTGGATGGCCTCTTCCTTCTTTCGAGTCTATTTCAGCCCGGAATCTCCACCAAAACCAGTCCACCATGAGCACCCCTGCTGGCATAGCCTCCAGTTTCACAGCAACATGCAAGCCACCACAGTACGACAAACCGACAGACAAGTTTGTCTCCTTTAGCTGTTCCAACCGCTCTGCCCACTTCCTGGGCTACCCGCTACCTGTTCCTAGAAATCTTTATGAAAGTAGATTGCTCAGTCTTCCTTCCACAGAGTGGGTAGTGGGCTTGAACTGCCAGCCTTCTGGTTAGCAGTCAAATGCCTTAGGCACTATGCCACCACAGCTCCTTTAGCCATTAGAGAGCTCCATTAGCCACTGTTGTTGGTGTTATGTGCTGTCGAGTCGGACCCAACTCATAGCAACCCTTCCTTGGGTTTCTGAGGTAGCATTAGTACGGAAGTAGATTGCCCAACCTTCCTTCCGAGGAGTGGCTGGTGGATTTGATCCATCAGCCTTCTGGTTAGCAGTCAAGTCAAAACAACAATGAGATACCATCTTGCCCCAGCACTAATAGCAAAGTTCAACAAGACAGAGAATAACAAATGCTGGCGAGGATGTAGAGAGATTGGGACTCTCATACACTGCTGGTGGGACTGTCAAATGTTACAACCACTGTGGAAAGCAGTATGATGATTCTTTAAAAAGCTGGAATTAGAAATACCATTTGTCCCAGCAATTGCATTACTAGGTATGTATCCTAAAGAAGTGGGAGCCAGAACAAGAACAGATATATGCACACCCATGTTCATTGCAGCACTATTTACATAGCAAAAAGATGGAAACAACCTACGTGCCCATCAACAGAAGAATGGATAACCAAACTATGGTACATACACACAATGGAATATTATGCAACACTAAAGAATAATGTACAATCTCCAAAACGCTGCATAACGTGGATGAACTTGGAGGACATTATGCTGAGTGAAATAAGTCATTCACAGAAGGACAAATATTCTATTAGTTCATTATTGTGAAAAGTCAAGGAAAGGTTTATATATGGAAGGAAACTTTCTTTGATGGTTACCAGGAGTGGGAGGGGAGGGAACACTGCAAAATAAAATAAAAACAAAGTATGTAGGGGAAAGAAAAAAGCAGGAGGGAATGAAGGGTTCACTGGGAAGGTGTTAAAATCAAGCCGCTCAGCTCTTTCCAGGATGAAAGGCTCAGGGAGGAAGGTGTCTGTTGGCTGGGCTTTGCTGACGGTCTGGTAAGTGCCCAGCAGCCCCGCTACGGCCCACCCCATCTTCCACACAGACGGGGAGCCCCACAGCCCACCAAGACCAGGGAAGGAGAAGGAGCTCCCAGAGTCTGGGTAAGAGAGAGAAAAACTATGAAACAGACACAGGCTCCTGTCTCATCTATCTGTGAATAATGAGGGGAGAATTCCTGGATCCTAAAGTCACCAACTCTTGGATATGACACTTCAACCAGGTGTAAGGACCAGCCACCTAGGACCCAGAGGGTTGCCTGCAAGGCTGTGGTATTTGAGAGCAATGAGTATCATCGTGAGTCACTGCTTTTTTAAAAAGCCAACCACCCCACAGTCTACTCAGTTCTCTGCTTCTTCAAATACTAATCTGAAATCTGTAAACATATGATTTGTTTTGGTTACCTAGTGCCATTCTAACAGTAATATACCACAAATGGGATGGCTTTAACAAACAGGAGTTCATAGTGCCAGGCTCTAGGGGCTGGGTGAAAGCCTTTCAACCTTGGGCTTCACCTCTGCCTCCTGCTCCCGGCCCACTGAAACTGGAGGCTTTTCCTGACTCAGCTGCTGGCTGCTGAGGCTGACAAGTCCAAGGTTGACAAGTAAAAAGGCACAGTCTTGAGAGTTCCAAACTGCATGGCAAGTCATTGATTCAAGTCCTAAAAAAGTCCCAAGGTCGCCAGAGCAACATGGCAGGCTGCTGAACAACGACTCGGCTATATGCAGGGTTCAAGCGTGCCATAAACTGGAGACCTTCCCCAAAGTTGCTACTTACATACTGGAAGCAGACCACATCCCTAAAGCAGCTACTTAGCTGCTCCAACAGATTCCACCATGGAGTTGATTACCAGTCTCATCATGGGGAATAACTACGTCCAGCTGCCCAGACACTCACCCAGGCCCAGCCAAGTTGACAACAACCTTAACCACCACACAATTCTTTTTGAAAGACGAGGGAGAAGAAGAAATACTTTTAAGTCCCAGCATCAGACAGTGGTTAGCTGCTTTCTCAACTTCCTTGCTTCCTGTTCCCATCTGCACTGAAAAAGCCTCTGACATAGAAACCTAAAGTGAGAATCCTCTGGTGGCTCAGTGGTTAAAGCATTCAGCTGCCAACCAAAAGGTCGGCAGTCCAACCCAGCAGCTGCTCCGTGGGAGAAAGAGGAGGAAGTCTGCTTCCTAAAGATTGACAGCCTTGGAAACCCTGTGGGGCAGTTCCACTCTGTCCTCTAGGGGTGCTGTGAGTCGGAACGGACTCCACGGCAGTGGGCGTGGTTTGGGCTTTGCTTCTGTGAAGATTGACAGCCTTGGAGACCCTGTGGGCAGTTCCACTCTGTCCTCTAGGGGCATTGTGAGTCAGAATCAAATTCATGGCAGTGGGTTTGATTTTCATTTACCAGGAAAGGGCCAGAGAAGTTTTTGGTTTGAGAGGCACCCACAGACACTCTTCTTCTGCCTTGGCTCACACTGTTAGGCCCAGGGTGCCGGTGGAGTTGGGAAGTTGGTTGGGAGTTTGTTCCTGGCTGCCTCAGAGAACCCCGTTTTAGTGTAGTTACTGGGGAGAGGAAAGGAAGGATAAGCCCAGGTCTGCCATGCTGTGTCTCTCCACACTGGGTCTAGGCACCAGTCACATCTGTGGATGGCACTAAAAAAAGGCAGTTACTGACCTGATCCAGACGAAGTGCACCATCCACAAACCGCTGCCTGCGTAGCTCCTTTGCGATTCCATGCAGATTTAAGACAGCCTCATGTACTTCCTGGCTGCTGTGCTCCGGGGAGATTGGGGGCAGTGCCTTCTCAGGGACTGGTTGAGCGGGGCTTTCAATCATGCTCTGGGCATGCTCATAGCTCAGTTTGGTGCAGGAGCGGATGATGGTCCGGCCAAACCACTCATCAAGGATCTGCAAGGATGGACAGACATGAGGGAGTCAGGGGAACACAGTCCCGGTCCTTCATTCAATTGGCCCTTCATCCACACACACTGGTCGAAGATCTATGAGCTAAGTCATACACCAGTACAAAGGTGAATGGCAAGAATTACGACACACACACACACACACACACACACAACAACAAAGAACAGCCGCTGTGTAAAACCGAACACCCCAAGGGATCTGGTTCCTTGGTTTGGAGGTTTATTGTTGTTGTTATGTGCCATTGGGTTGGACCAACCTGACTCATAGCAACTCCTCCTTAGGTTTCCAAGGTGGTATCACTATGGAAGTAGATTGCCCAACCTTCCTTCCAGGGAGTGGCTGGTGGGTTTGAACCACCAGGCTTCTGGTTAGCAGTCAAGTTTGGAGATTTAGGGTCATGGTTTCATGGGATACCCCAGTTAACCGTTCTAATAACATGTTTCCTGCATCCGTTCTACCTCCTAGTTCACTATTTAGTTCCTGGGGTCTTAAAAGCTTGCAAATGGACTCAAGGCACAGCAATTGGTCTCTCTTCCCGGAGCAACAGAGGAAGGAGACTCAGGAACTGCAGGAGGATATGGAAGGTGTGACTAATTGCCTCCATGGACAGCTGCCTCCTCTGCCATGAGACCAGAAGCACTGGATGGTGCCTGGCTACTATTACTAAATGTTTGGATCGAAGATTCCACAGAAGAATCTTGATCAAAAAGGGAAAATGCAGAACAGGGTTTCAAATTCTCAGACTTCAAACTTTTGGGAGCCATAAACAAACAAATAAACAAAAAAACCAAACTCACTGCCATTGAGTTGATTCTCACTCATAGCGACCCC